ATGCATTCAGGTCATAGTGCGTTTTAAACGTTCAGTGGCCAGTATCTAGATGGGCTGTCCTCTGAGCGACCGAGCCTGAGGAATCCTTTAGATTCTAAACATGACAACATTTTCCCAATATACATCTTTTGTGCTCTTACAAATCACATGGAAAGCACACTGAAAAGCAGGAGAGAGGTCTCGGAAATATCTTTCATCGCGCTAAGTTTCATTTCTGACTCTCCTCTCCAGCAGCGCCTCCACCTGAACGTGTATGATGCGAGGGACTCGCGTGAGGCGTGCGGACAGTGCTCTGATGTATACAGATGGCCAACACACGAAACCTTGGCGAATCCTGGGACATTTAAGGTGTGTTATTGCTGATATCATGCCCTGCATTTGGATCAGTGCAAAGTATAAGCCATTCCTTTTCCTGGCCCTTCTCGGAAGCAGGATGGTGTCAGGGGGTGTAAATCACGGCATCTCTGGCAGGACGCGTGCAGGCTCCACTGACATTTTCACAATTTAAATCATCTTGAGTAATAACCCTTTTAAGATGACTAATGTTACTGATTTTCCTGCATTAATAATAGTACCGAACACAACACAGAGGTGAAAAAAAATCACTAGTGTACGAGGTCACATTTTAAAACCAAATGTATGATTATCATTAACTCTTTCTGTTAAAGTCTGGTTAACATTTAAAGCCAGGCAGTACCTGTCATCCTCTAAAGAGCCTCTTTCCTTGTGTCCTTCCCTCCTTTTCCCCAAAACTCCATAAAAGATAAAAATCAGGGCCTTAAATCTTCTGGAGGTTCTCAGATAGTTTAAATAGAAATAATGATGGTGAGCTTGATTTGCTAGCTCTCACTTATACAAAGAGTAACAGTACATAATAGTTTAGACCTCTAACAGAGCAGATTCAAATGATCCAGAAAATTGCTGGTTAAAATTAACTGGCATCAACAGGCATACCAAGTTTTTTTTTTTTTTAAATCTAATTTCTCAGTTGATAAATAACGACAAAGTATTTTTCATTCTTTATGGATTTTCTATGAAAGTGTGTATGAAGCTTGATTTCTGCTAGTGGCTCAAAGTTCTAGGGACATCCGATACGCTCAGACACCTCCTTATTTTTAATTCCTTCCTTCAAATTTTGCCATGTCCAAGAAATGAGTTGGAAGCTAACAGGGGCAAGGAGAGAATATCTTATAGGAATGCTACAGATGGAAAGATTTAAAAAAAAAAGTCCATTATTATATCTGCATTCCCGTTACAAATTGAGCCATCCCTGAAATGATTGCTACATGCCTTTGGTGGAGTCAAACTGCCTTCCTGCCTCAGAATAGGGCTACGTGGAGCTCTGCACAGTGTATAACTGTGATAGAACAACACAGCTGGACAGTTAAAGTCCCTCATGTTAACTATAATTTGTTGTTCCTCAGATCATCCTCTTCCTATGACGTCTTCAAACAAAAGACGAATCTGAATTAAGGGGGGGGGGATTAATTTTTCCAATAAGCTCTGCCACAGAACTCGCACCAAAACAATGAGCCATTTTGTTATTCGACATTAATACTTCCTTGACCAGAGACTGGCTACAAATTATGCTGAAGTAAGGGCAATTTGAGCCTTGAATGAATGAAAACTACATGGAATTATGACATTTGGTCACATTAACTTTTTTCTTTACTACAAAATCAATAAATACTCATTGTAGAAAATTCAAATTATAAAGAGAAGGACAAAATAGAAAGCAAAACCCCCCTGAAATATCACTTCCCAGAGACAATCACTAACACTTCGGTAAATCTCTTTCCAGACCTCCAAATATATTCACACACAAGGAGAAGCGGGGTTAGGGAATCTTACAAAAACAGGCTCATAGCAAAGGCAGTTTCACAATCTGCTTTTTTTCACTGAACAAAATGTTGGGGGTAATCTTTTTATGTTAATGACTGGATTTACAGCATCCTTTTAAAATGGCTGAATAGGATTCTATTGTACGATGGAACAAATAAAAAAAATGAAACCAATATCCACCTAACATAATAAGCATTTCTGAAAGAGGATACTTATTTGTTGGAGGGTGGTGGCAAAATTTAGGTGAGAGAATTATGGTTGTATCTCATTACTAAACCCTCCTGGCTCAAATGCCAGTGGATACACTGAAGTGAAATATTCATATAGTAGGAATCTGCTGTAGGAGAATCAAAGGGCTTGCAAGATTGTCAAATTACATCATTCGGCAGCTGAATATGTAAACTAACTAAAAGGCAACTTTGGGGTTTCCCTTCCCTTTAAAAATAATGCTTCACAAAACGAGTTCTGAGAAGATTATTTCCTGAACACACAGAGAGAGACACATACAGATATAATTCATCAAAACAGGAAGTGTTTTAATGCTATTCTCAGTGGAAGTGATCCTGCACACCAACCTTTTACCGTTCTCACTTGAGTAATTATCCAACCAGTATTTCTCATTAACACTCATTTCTCAGCAAAGATTTTAATAGCTGATAGCTTTTGTAAGGCTCTGTATTAATAAGACTTAAATTAAGTTTTCAAAATATATTACAGTACATTTACTGGAATAATAAAAATGTATGACCATACGTCATTAGACCTAAACAATACAGTATCTAAATAAATCAGAAAAGCACATTTGGGGAGAAAGGCAGTAGATTCAACGCTGCTTTCTGGATCCTCTTTAATTCAAATCAGAACTAAATTAGAGGACGAGTAGAAAGAGCCTGTGACAGATTTCGAAGTTGTCATGCTTCAATACCATGTTGCTAATTAAGCAATTTATTGTATCTGTTTTGCATTTTATTAGCTGTTGATTTTTTAAAAACCATCGTCAAGTTGTGCTGAAGTCTTGTTGAAACTTTTTTTTTTAACTTTCAAAGCAATAAACTGAATCTCATAAAACATACCTGCATTCTAGGAAGGTAAAGGTAAAGGTAACAACAAAATTTTAAATTAAACTTTTGTTTTTTTCTTGGGGAGGTTGGTAATGTTTAATTTTTTTGTAATTATCAGGAGAAAGGTAATTAAAAAGAAGATGGGATGGAGATTAATCACTGAGGATGAAACAAGTTCTACTATAAAAATCCATTGCTCAAATGAATATTCATTTTAATCACAATTGAACATAGGCATTCTCAGGTACTGCCAGTCAATGATGTTCAGAGTTTTGAGCATTTTGATGGCTTGGGAATGAAGAGCATTACGTGGGAAATTCAGAATGCAAAC